CCCCCCCCTCCCTAGAGGCTAGCAGGAAATGCGGTGACGTAGTAAATATTTGTGAAAAAGAAAAATCCCACCGACTAATCAATCTGCATGTCTCGGGCTTACCCTCTGCCTGCTTTTGGTCTAGGATTTTCTGGTAAACGAACAATCGTTTTTCGAGAACAGAGGAACTTTTGGAGAAGGCAGAAAGGCTCTAACGCTATTGAAGAAAGCCTTATTTCATGCAATAATCTGTGTGCTCGGGCACCTGCAATAGCCTGGAGCCTACATGTATATACACCTAGCCAGCCACGTGGGCTGAACACCACTAGCAAATATTCGTGAGACTTCCCAATTCAAACTCCGGCGTTCCTTTATGAAATCAACTCGCCGAGCACAATTTTTTCAAGAATCGCTTCCGTCACATATTCTGTCACATTATTCCGCGTGCTGGGAAAGCCTCGGCCTCGGCCGATCATAATCTTGTGTTACGTGGACGCCGAAGTATCCTTTGAGAAAAAGAAAGCAAAGGAACATAGGAGCAATGTATCCGGATGTTGCTGTACATTCATGACTCCTGGATGCCCTGTCATCCACTATATTGAATAGCCACCCAGGAGCAGGCCGGTGAGACGGCATGCCGCTCGGTTCTCGCTGGATTGATTGTTTATGGGCCACTTACCGGATTTTTCTGTCCTCTCTTATCCTCATTTGATAGAAAGTAGTCATTGGAATGAAATTGAAAATCTGCTACGTGCCTTATCCCGGAAAGCCGTCATGTAATAATGAACTTTATTATGCACGCGGGTGCACAGCCTGATGGAGCACCCCAACAAAATTTCAAGTGGCGAGTGTAAGCTCCTTGATTGTTCTTGGTGTGTTCTCCCATCACTGTTGCGAGAGTCAAGCAGGGGAGAGAATGGTCAATTTGGTGTCGACATAAACAGTAATAATCAAGGAAAAATAAACATGATTCGTCCTTTCTCTTGCACGAGAAGGCTAAACGTACATAATGTAATTTGTCAATCTGTGTTCGTACCATGGCGCTCTGCTCCTTTAATTATTCTTGTAGGGGCTCACCGGCGCTTCACGCTTTTGCCGAACCGTCTCCATTTCCAGCCGTTAAAAAAGGGGGGTTGGTACCGTTCTTCTTCGCCATGTGCATCGTGATTGAAGCGTCCGAATTTCTTCTGTTGCTCGTTCTTGTCTCCTTCCGTTTCGTCTCTTCGCGCCTGAATTCATTCATGGCTGGCCTGACCTGCATCCAGGTCAAAAATTGCGAAGGGTATATTGTCTCCTCTGAGGTCGAGAATTCTGGCCAAATATGGTATACCGCCTCTTCAGAAGAAGAAGGGGCGGATGAATCAGGCGAAGCTCTTGTCTGGCTTTGGTTGCCACCGCTCTTGGTCTTGGCTGGACCTCCTTTGTTGAGCCCATCGCTTTTCTTGGAAGCTTCTCTGGTCGCCTGAGTCTTCGATGGAGACTCTGGCAAAATGAGACCTTCTTCTGTCGGTGCCATAGTTGGCTCAAAGTTCGCAATGACAAGCTCTGTGAGGTGCTGGACGGAGCTCCATACATCCAATGCCTCGTTGCAGACCTTTTCTGCTTCTCTCTCACATTCTCTGAATAATAGAGGAGGAACAAGCGGCTGAATGGATTTTAAAACTTCTTGAGCGGCTTTCTTGGCACGTGTTTGGCCACATTTCTTGTCCTGTACTTGCAATAGCACTGAACGCACATGCACCTCTTGATCTCGATTTTCAATTTTGGTCAGGAGCCTCGCTGCTTCATCCTGATCTTCGCTGATGTAAATCGGCTGGAAGACATGTTTTGTGAGCCAGTAAGCGAGAACAGACAGTCCTACGGCAAAGCGCATATGCTTTGCAGGTACTGTGTTGGACATGGGAAGGGGGAGGCTGGAGCTGTATAGAACAGCCTCCCTCATCCTGCTCCAGTCGTTCGATGTGACAATACTCATGTCGATATCTTGGAACAGGTATTTCTCGGCCAAGTCATAGGCGAGATTGAAAATTCTTTCCAGTTCAGTATGGCTGTATCTCGGGTTAGTTTAGACTTTATCAAGAGGAATGATTGAGTGTCACTCACAACGTGTTCCTCTTCACTTCATCGTACTCATCCATGATGGCACTGAATGATGTGATACGATCCAATTCGTCCTGTACATTCTGCTTCTCGAACTCTTCTCTTCGGAGTAGCCCTTGAAACTTCAACCCCTTTTCTATCTCTCCTTTGGCTTCCCCTAACCCCTTTTCCAGTACCTCTATCTGTTTCTGAAGCTTGTTGCTTCTGATCAAGAGACTATTTTGCTTTTCTGAGGCCTCATGGGATTTTTGGCGAAACTTGTCACGATCATCCTTAATTTCCTGGAGTTGTCCATCCGTAGCCGCCTTTTCAGCCTTCAAGGAGTTAAGAGCATCCTTAGTTGACTCCAGCTCGGCTTCCGACGCGTTCAGCTGCTTCAAGTTGACTTTATACGCACCATGTTTCTCGTCATACCTCTGCTGCAAATCCTGGTTATCCTTCCAGAGCCCCTGCAGGTAGCGGAAACCACCGTGAGAGGCAGTTTGAATCAGCAATGAAGTGAATTCATTGATGGTACTCTCCGCACTTGCTCCATTGGTGGGCGGTTGTTGTGCTTGCGGAGGTCTCTGTGGCTGCTGTAGCTTAGGCATAGTATGAGAGACAATGTTGGCTGGTAGGGTGATATATTGACTGAATGCTAGAGGTTGTCCGATTTTTTTATGGACTATGGAGGAGCGAAACCAGGTATTTATCTAGATTGTTTCCCCCTTCTTTTTTGAAAGCTTTCTCTCATATCAACAGGAAATAACGACTATTGGGTGGTGGTGGTGGGTGGTTTTTATGCAGGAAACGATTTGGAATCGAGTCATTGGCTGGTCATTATGCCGTTGGTTCGAACATGCGGCCACTTTGTGGGACCAGATCAAGTTCGCCTCACTCCAACCCAAACCTGGGTCCGGGGTGAGTACTTGACCTCTTTTACTTGGTCATGAGGTGTCGATGGATTCGCCTCCAAAACATCCCAAGCCACCAACTGGAATTGGGCTGGCCGCCTCACGGCTTATCAAGCGGCTCCGAGCGTCCACTAAATCGATTCGGATCTCATCTGAGAAGGAAAGCCGTGTCATGACTGAATCGCAACCAATCTTGGGCAGCCACGACATTGAAGCAAGTTGTTGACACCCCACGCTGGGGTCGGATATGAACTGTTTGGGGAGCATACATCTGCAGCCATATATCTAAATGGGAAGGGATGCAGGTGAACTGAGCGACGCCCTAGCAGGTCTCCAGCGTGAGGGTGGTATCCATATGCAGGAGGCCTACCACTTTACCCAGCTTGTCGAATCACCCTTTCGAGGGGAGAACGGTGGAAAGAGATTATCGTTGTGCCAAGCAGGCAGCCATTCGCGAGGCAGCAATGTGTTGGCATTTGCATGGCCGAGATGGTGGGCAGTTTCGGTTTGCCCATTTTGTCGATTTCGCCAATGAATCTCTTGTTGCAGAGCTATTCTAGGCGGACAATCTAATCGAGTCGCTTCGTTTCACTAGTGCCTTATGTCGAAGTGGCGTGATAGGATTTAAGGCTCTCTTAGGCTTCGTCGGATACAGAGAAGTGGGCTAGGTTGGGCCATCGTGTGGTTGTGTCGCGCAGGCTCGGCATCGGAAGCAGTGCTCTTGTCCCCCTTTCGCTCTCCCGTACGACCGCCAGTGACAATGGGAGTAGGTATCGTTTGCCGCGGTGTCTGAAGATGGCACGAGAGACGTAAAATCTTATTTTGTGGTTGGTCGGTCGGATGGTGTCGTTATGTCGGGGCTTCGTCGAGCTGCGGTAAACATGTGAGCTCTGGCCAATTTTGACTTGGATGGATGTAGGTCAGAACCTTCAGGGTTGTAGTAGGGTATCAACCAGTGGTAGGATTCTCACAAGGCAGATGACGGGTCGCTGCGATGATCTGTCTCGGGATCGATAGACCCATTCCCCCGTGGGTGGTGAGAAGGCGAAGTGTGCATCGTGTTCATGCCACCAACACGATTTCTTAAGGCGAGCAGACGGGCATACGTGGCGGCGGCGTATCAATTCCCCGGCGCAAGAATCACCTGAGAAAAACGGGCGTAGATCTTTATCTTGTGGCGCCGGGACAGGTCAATGAAGGGGAATTAAGGGAGGGAGGAGAGGGTTGACAGGTGCTCAAGTTGGACTCTCCAGCTTCGGACCTCAGCACGGAGTAGTACCAGTGAAATAACGAAGGTAGAGGAATTGAGGGCAAGAGGGAAAGACTCAGTCCTTCTGGCATCGTGGCTCAGCTCCTGCGTGTTCTGCATAAGGGCTCGGGACCGAGCGCCTGCTGAGCATCTTTCCACACAAATTTCTGCCAGTCCAGTGCTCTTACCTCAGGCATCCATCATCCAGCGTCCCTCCATCCACCCGAGCAGAGGCAAGGCAGGTGCTCCCCAGTAAGCGGTAATGTATCCATCTTAATTGGCTGGGAGCTCAGGCAAAAGCAACGTGAGGAGGTAGGTAGTACTAAGGCTCTCATTATGAACGACGCTTGGGTATCTAATTTGAACATCCAAAGCAGCAAACAACACCCATCTCATTACCTGGGAATCCACAGCCCACCATTGCCATACATCTTGTCTCTCATCGCGCCGACTTCGCTCCGCACACCGACCCAGTGCAGAGGTATCCTGTCGACCTTGCCCTGCACCGACCCCGTAACCCCGTCCAGCCTCTCCGCCAAAGTCCGATCCCGCCTGCTCGCCTCCTCGATGCTCCAGTTCTCTCGCCCCAGGCTCGCCATCACGACCATTGTGTCCACCTCATGCTGATCAAGCACCTCCGACGGCGACACCTCTCTCTCCAATGGCGGGTGAAGGTACCCCATCAAGACCACACGCAACTTCGCGTCCGCAAACGAAGCCCCGTCAAAGTCGTGGAGGAGGTGGACAGCGATCCTGTTCTTCACCACCACCTCGGGCGGCCCGTACCGCAACGGCCCGATCGTTACGATAGCTTCGTGCCAGTCTCGTGAGATGTCACCCATGCTTTTGGGCGCACAAACACAAGCCCATGCTGCAAACACGCCTCGCATGCGCATCTTGACCTCGTCTCTCACGCCGTGGACGTTGGCTGTCGGGATAGCCAGCTCTCTCGTCGACCGTCCACTTGCTTTGCCTACTATACCCTCGAAGCTTACAGGGAACGGGGTCTCGGGGCCTTCGTCGGGCCCGACAAGACTCGTCACCGACTCGAATACCGCGGCCTCGTACCGTCCATTCTTGCCTCGCTCCCAGCTCTCGACAACGGCCGAGTCCATACCGGTCGTCTGTACAACTTGCTTTCCTGTAGAGAACGCCTTTTTTGCGTTGCTCATCGCCGCACTCGACACTTTTTTGGTCACAGTGGACGTCGCCCGGTTCTGGACCACGAGCGCCGCTGCTCCTGCATATCGCTTGGCAACCTGCTGTCCGACAGTGCTTGCCACCTTGACGCCCACCTCGAGCGGCATTGTCTTCAAGCTTGCCCCTCTCACCACGCTGATCTCGGTTGTCGTGCTTGCTACCCGAAACACCGGGCTGCCGCAGAGCGTCTTCTTCCCCCCCTCCCCCGAGCACAGTACAAGCCTAAAGTAACCATCCACTGCTGCTGCGGGTATGCGGACGACGTGTGTCTCGACTGGGACATGCTTCTTCAGTCGCCCTGATGCTTTCTTGACAAACCTCTTCAAGTCTCGCTGGATACTCCTCTCATCTACAGAGGGGATATGCTCGGGTGCGGCCCTTGTCGCTGGCGTCACATCCAGCCAGTCTCCCTTGGTGCCCATCAACGCCTTGAGACTCATCCCCATATTCCCCGAGTAGCCTTTCTGCTGAAGCCACACTGTCCGATCCAGAGGTAATTCCATGTCTGACAAAATGGTGATGGAAATGCTGGTTGCAGGGCCACTGTACCAAACCAGTGCTCCCGAGTGACGAATAATGCTGTAGTGCCGCGTTGACTCGGCCGGGTGGCTGATTAAGCCACCGGCAAAGAATTGCGCCTCCCCAAGGGCAGCCTTCAACTTCTCTTGCACGGTGAGACCCTCGGTGACTGTGCTGGCTTCTGAGCCAAAAGACGCCGACAGAGTAGATGAGCTCTTAGCCCGCCGTATCTCTGGCGTGCTAGGCGTCACTGGCGAGAGACCTCCGGGTGATGGTAGAGTGTCAACGTTCACACTAGTTGGGAGATCCTTTCTCCTGATGCTGCTTCTCTCTCGATGAGGTGTAGCAGTGGATGGGCGCACAAGGTCAGTCGTGATGTTCACCCTCCCCCTACTTTCATCCCTCCTCTCTTCCTGGTAGACCGCCGTCGACGGCCGCTCATCAAAATAGCCAGTGGTGAGTTCTTGTCTCCTCCCTAGAGTACTGCTACTTGTCTCTTGATACGGTGGCGGCGCGGGGGGCCACGCATCAGCGACGATGTCTCGCCTAGTTCTGTTACCTCTACTCCCCTGGTTCGTTGCAGTAGACGGACGATCATAATTTACTTGAGAACGCAAGTCAGTGGCTGACCGGGCATATCGAAGTGACATTGATGAAGGTGACGCAGGCACGGAGAGAGGCGAGCTGGCACGCGACCACTCAGCACCAGTCTCTAAGCGAGATGTGTTGAGTCTCTGCATCGTCGGCGGTTCTCGCCGCCGGCTCCGGTGATACTGTGGATCCATTTCACCGACGTCTCAATGCTGATTGTCGCTTGCTCCGTCTCTCCTTTTAACGGGCGAAAGTCTGTTATGTGAGATGGTCGAAGGCAAGACGCGGACGACGGAACAGCTTCCGAGGCACCCGGCAGTGTTATGAGGACAAAGGCAAGCTAGAACTAATGGAAGAATCGAAGGTAGGAGATTTCCTCCTATGTTGAGTAATCGTCGAACGCTCACGGTGAGATATTGCGCATTGTCAAGCCAGCGACCCCTTTTAAAAATAAATGGGGCATCCATAAGCCCTGTCTCTCATTTCTCCAATCAAGAAACCTGCGCTGCCCAGCCTCCAGGAACTGGGGAGCTGCGGGGCCCTTTGCGGCCGCCAGTCTCAGTCGTAGAATTCTATTCTTCCTCTCCGTACGTGACACTCATCATGCTCAGACATTTCGTGTGTCACAGTGAGGCCAATCATATTGGAAATCAACTTCATTTTGTTGAGGCGATGACTATGAACACGCGTCCGAAGCGTGGACATGGCGATGGTGTCCCCAATCTTGCCACCCTCCTCCAGGGGACAGCGCCAATCATCCACGGACGACATCTAACCTTGATAACCCCTCTGCGGCCAACTGTCGCGCTTAAATAGCGCCCGCTTTAGCATGAAGTGCTAGCACCATGATGTGTGATGCTGGAAATAGACGTGCATAACGGCGCCGGGGAAGAGATAGGCCATGTCGCCATTGGAGCGCTCGCTGGGGTTAGTACCGTACCCACGTGGAATACTGTAGCTACGTGGATTGGGCGCAGTGGACACATGAACCTCTGAGTTTGGCAAGGAGTATTTGCTTTCTGTGCTGAACTACCTAGGCCAGAGCGATCGCCTCTACGTCCTCAGCCTTCTTGACCGCCGTAGTCAAGTTCTCGTATCCTGCCTCGGTAACAAAAACGTTGTCCTCGATTCTCACGCCGCCGACGGACCAGTACTTGTCAAGCACATCCGTGTCAATGAACTTGCTGTGCTTTGGGTCCTTGAGGTAAGGTTCGATGATGAACCGGCAGAAATAGACCTAATCACACGAATCGGTTAGCTACTTTCTCCATCGAGAAAACACTCATGGGGATGCTAAGAGGGGTCTCCAACGTACACCAGGCTCAACAGTGACAACGCTACCGGCCGGCAAAGTGCCCCTCAATCTCAGATACCTGAACAGAATATCCTTGTCTTTAGGGTTGGGGTTGCCTCCAGTGTCGTGGGTGTCGAGGCCAAGGTGATGGCCCAGACCGTGGGGGAAGAAGGCGGAACTGGTTCGTGAATCCAAGATCTCCTGCTTGTCGCCCTTCAGGATGCCAATTGACAGGAGCCCGTCAATAGCAACCTTGTGCGCTACGACGTGGATGTCATCCCAGCTGGCACCGGCCTTGATCAGTGCCATGGTGTCCTCCTGCATCTTGAGCACGATGTCGTAAATGGCACGCGACTCGGGTGTGAACTTGCCATTGAGAGGGAATGTTCGGGTCTGTAAACACGGGGGTTAACAACCGTTTCTTGGAGCATAAATGCCGCCTCCAGTTTTGGCGTGTTGAAGCACTTACGATATCCGACGCATAATTGTTCCACTCAGCACCAGCGTCGATCAAGAGATTGGTCTTGTTCTCCAGAGTGCGGTTGTTGTGGACATAATGGAGGGTGGCAGCAGCCTCGCCGGCAGCGAGGATTGGGTGGTAGGCCATCTCCGCAGCTCCGTTTTCGATGCATGTCGCAAGGAACGTAGCCAGGAGCTCCTGCTCGTTCTTGGCGGTCCTTGACTTCTCAATGACGGCTTTGTGCGCCAGAGCGGAGACGTAATTGGCCTTGCGAATGATGGCTACCTCATATTCATCCTTGACGACGCGCGCGACCTCAATGGACTTTTTCAAGACACTCAAGTTCTTATTCTGGAAGTCGGAGATCTTGATATGATCTGAGATCTGGCCCTCGATGGCAAAAATGGTCGAGTTGGGGTTCGCCGAGGCGTAGCTTGAAAGCACGGAATTGACATCGGTGGTAAACTTGACCTCGTCGACGTCGTATTGGGCAAGAGCCTCCTCAGCAGTGACGGGCAGGCCGGACCAGATGACCTCGTCGGCTTCGACGGGGGGGATGAACAAGGTGGACTTTGATGTTTGGATATCGAAGGTGAAGAAGCTGTCGGCGAGGTTGCTTCCCGTCAGGTAGTAGAAGAATCGACGCTGGCTGTGGTACGGCCCAATGTGTTAGTACCGAGACACATGTAGATGACGGTGCTTAGCCCGCCAAAGGGAATTCTTGGTGGGACAGGATAGAGGGAGGGGTACCGGAAGGGCTCTGGGGAATCATTGTCCTCGAGGAGCTTGGTGTGGCGAGCCTCGAGGTAGAGAAGGCCATTTGCGTCGGGAATCTCCTTGCGGATGAGTTCGAGAGTCCTCTTGGCGTGGTTCTTGGCCGGGTACTTGCCCTCGAGGACAGCGTCGAAGTTCTCAGCAACCATGGTCACTGGCGAGGTGGACTGACAACGGCGGGGTACGAAAACAGCAGGATGTCGAGCGCGGGGTGTCGGCCTAGCTCTCGAGGTGGCGGAGGCTGTGGAATGGGAGGTGTGTGCAAATCCGAGCGTGGGCGACGGTGCTAGTGCTGCCGATGCGAGGAATGGTGGGAAGAAGGCAGATGATTGAGAAAAGACGAAGGGAGGACAGACAGGAAGACGGGCGCTGGTGCGTCTGCCGCTGGACGATCGCGCAACGGCTCTGGTGGTGGTGAGCTTCGCTATCTGCCCCGCTAAAGCGTGCGCGCTGGCACCTGGCCGAGCGACCGACGACATCATTACGGCGGCCTGTAGCGTGCTGGGCAGTGGAGGGCCGGTGGTGCTTGCCAGGCCGTTGGGTGACGCGCTTGGAATCGGCATACGCATCCCCACCAGAAGCAGAAGTTCGCTCAGCACCTTCCCTCTTGCTTCCAGCTCGTTAATTCCATCCGCAACCAGCAAAGCCTCCCCGCTCCTCCATTAGTCAGCACCCATCCGAGGGGGAAGCTCCCACGAACCAACAAACCTCCTCCGTCCACGCCTCGTATAGCAATTCCCTTTGCGTCTTGTTGCTGGGACCTTGCCGTCTGCACCCTTCGACCATGCGTCCCACCACGACCTGCCCATTTGCAGTGCGTGTTTCGGTAGCCTAGCCTATCGAATGTGCAATGAGCACCACTGGCCAATCGGCGCCGAGAAAGAAGCGGTAGCCGTCCAGACCAAAGCAAACATGCATCACGCCCACAAAGCCACGCCTTAGCTGCATCGATCAACTCAACTAGCCCCGGAAGAAACAATGGGGATCCACACCGCCGTCCCGCATTAAGGGTCTCTGGTGGAAATGAAGAGGTCAACCCTCGGTTCAGCCGCTTGACATCATCCTGCCTTGTGTCACCACATGCCAGGAGGTACCTCTGCGTCCCACTGAGTGTCGTACACCTCGATGGCGGTACCTGGGTCGTTCGTACCAGTCCACCGCTTCCCGGAGCGCACTCTGGACAGAAAGTCACACGCATGGCCCTCGTTGTGGCCTATTTGCATAGCCCTGGTTGGGACTGGAGGGTTGAGATCCAAGGAGTATGTACACACGAGGCCAGCTACGCCCAGGCCGATCCTCTTAGCATACTGGGCCATTGAGATTATGTTGGCCAATCTATTGTGTACGTACCAAATTCAACATTGCACCTATCATTCCTCACTACCGAACATCCTTATCTCCTTGGCTGTGATAATCTCCGCCTCACTTTCTGTCCCTCTTCATTTTCTCTCCCCCCCTTTCCATGATCTTTACTGCTTGCTATTTCTCCCGAGCCGCCACTCTCTTTATCTTGGGCTGCTCTAGATGCTGCACCACGCTAGTCCAATGCTCAGCTGGAGTGGATCATCCATCCCCTACTCTTAACTCAATCTCCTAGCGCCGGAATAGACGCACATCGTCTCACCTCCGATTTTGGTCTTAAATGATGAGGCTGTGGTCCAGCCTATCATTCATCCATGTCGTCGCGTCAGCCCGTTTGACACCCAACACAGTATCATCTTCCTTGGTCCCTTTATTAGATCCGGGCCATGCTGTCTCGACGTATTATCGAAAGCCGCGGCGTTCTGCTCTTTGCAAGCCATTATTACAATGCAATGTGGAGCTCGGGATTCTCATTTCATCACATATCACCGTCAGCCTTAGGGACCCTTGTGCCTCACTCCAAGACAGGGCCATCTCCGCCAACATGCCAAGAAGCCACAATCTGACTGTGGAGGGTGGCTGCTGCATACAACAGCCACCAGAGCATCGTGAGAGGACCCGAGGCAAATACATCCCATGTTCCTGCTCTCTGATGTAGGTGTGACCCACACCTACACCTCTCCTACCTCAAACTCTTTTGGTTCCGAGGCTGCACGAGCATTGGATTGGCCTCCCAGAGAATAACTCCAACCTTTCTTTTTCTTCCTTTTTTTTCTTTTCCTTTTCCTTCGAGTACACCCATTCTAAAGACAGTGCCGGCGAATGTGATTGGCGTAATCCTTGATATTCTGAATATGGAAGGGGCTCACCGATACCCGTCCCAGCTTATAACGTTGAAAGCTCTACTTGCTCCGTGATACATGGTCAAACACGCATTTGGCTCTAACCATTTTTATAGCAATTCTCATGCTCCATTTACAGCATTCGTGCGGTCGGGTTGCCGCGTCTGGCCTTGTTCTGGCACTGCCAACCTGTTGCCTAGCCTTCCAAAGGTGTACCCCTCTCCTTCTCCTGTTAATCAACACACTCCTCCTCGTCTTTTTGATTTTCCTTTTTTGAACATTTCCTGGTATCTTCCCCATGAATCCACAACAGTGTCCCAGACTCCACCAGTCTACAACAGTGCCCGTTCCACACACCCTCTCCTTTCGTTACAAGCTACCGAATATTTGTCATACTATTTTCAATCAAAGTGCTACACCTCCTTTATCATGTGTAGTCCCCATGGCTACGTGTGAGACAGCTCGGTCAGACATTGGTTACCTCGTATGTCCCAGTCCACTCATCCAGGCCACGCCGGCCCGTGATATGCGGATACGCGGACACCAACTAACCTACCTTGGACCGAGCAGACTTTCTATGGAATGTTGTCTGCCTGTGGTCCAAAAAATCGAGTATTTTTGCTCGTTAAAAAAATTGCGTCACGGGATCCGTGCCGTCCCTTGTCTAACCTCGCTCTACATCTTCGCAGGACTGACTTAACTCCCTTTTCTGCTCTTCACTTTGCCCTTTATTCCTTCCTACCTTCGACTCAACAAATATTATCAGCATGCCATTTTCAAGTAATTCCATGTTCAAGTTCCACCCGGCACAATACCTTACCGAGACAGTGGCTGATCTTCCGCAGGGTCTGCTCCGGCCTGGTAACCAAGCATGTGCAGGGTCTGGACTCTGGCACAAGGCTTGCAGGGGCAGGACCAATTGGAGCGTCCAGAGAAGATGTACCAGGGAGCATTTCTGGAATAAATATGGAAACCGTCCAGGATGTACGAGATCCAGCCGAAGTAGTAAGCCCGATCTCGCCCTGCAACCACGATACAAGGTTTTTCCCCACATGCGCCCACAATCGCCAAACTCCCTAGAAGCGGAAAACTTTACCGGTAAACAAAGGGACGAGATCGAGGGAGCAGATCAAGCTGTCTCCCATGGCTTCCTCTGTCGCTTTGTACCCATCAGACACGCAGTCGATCTGCATCATACAAGATATCCAAAAACCACTGTCTATGGACTCTTCCAAGCCCAAGGCAGACAGGATGCTGTTGATTTTGAGTCCCACACCTCATCAGCTTGAATTAACAGCCAAGATCGCGGTACCCAGCTGCTTATCTCAAGCCTTGCGGGTATTTTCCCGACTCTTCGTGCGCCCCACAAACGCTCGTCCCATCCCCTTCACACCGCACCCCTTCCTTTCCCCAGAAATGTAGTGAAATCCTGGTCAACAAGAATTTCTTGGTTGGGTGTGGGAAGAATCAAGTGTTTCATTGATCTATCATGCTTCAGGCTTAGCTCCTACGCCTGTGTCCTGGCTTCAGACAAGCTGGCATCCAACACCCCCTTCTACACACCCCAGTAACTTTCCATCCATCCGCCCATTCTTTCGTGTACAAGTCTCAGACCTCCGAGTTTCGGTTGGTTAATCCTAAACCCTTTCACCTAAACAAGGGGATCTGAATAGCAGTGTACCAGAACTCCCCTCCACTCAGCAAGCCTCCGTCTGAAAATGTCCCAGATCTGCACTCCCAACGCCAATAGTTTCCCAAACCTGACCAATTCGATTTTTTCTGATTATTCAACAGCTAATCTTATTCTGAATTTTGCACGTGTCCCAAGTAGAGTGAGGCATTCGGCGACGATGGTAACTCGTCCCACTAATCACACCCAGTCATTTTCCCCTTCCC